CCCTGAACCTGTCTCTAAGGCCCCCTTTACTCTGACCGCTCAGTGAGCCAAAGCAGCCCAGCCTAGGCTCTCCTGTTGCTTCCTCTATGGGCTTCCTAGTTTCACCGTCCTAAATATATTTTTGCTGTGACCAATAAATTCTTGCTTGCTTTTCTATACTTTGTCTCCTGATTGAAGTCTTACCGAGGTCTCCTCATCATCTCCCCGGTAACAGTTTTTCTGCTCCTCATGGCATTAACTGAAGCCTCTCATTTGACTAGCTACATTGAGCAAAGGATGGGGCTTGGATGGAAGGTCTTAAAAAACTTCACTCACATGTCTGGCATCATAGGGTTTCACCACCAGTAGCTTGAGTTTCTTCACAGCTTGGTGGGCTCGGTGAGACTAGTAGAGCCTTTACTTGATGATTTGCTTCCAGAAGGAAAGTGGAAGCTGTCACACTTCCTAAAGGGCAGGCCTGGAGCTTTTGCCACATTCCAATGAGCCAGAGCAAGTCACAGGCCAATTCAGATTCAAGAGGGTTGGAAAAAGAATCGATCTCTTTTGAATAGAGTGGCATGAGGGAAGGTATTGATATTTTGTACTGTTGACATAAGAACATCCAACCTGGCCAGGCCGGGCATGGCTCAGCAGTTGAGCATCGACCTATAATAGAGGAGTTCAAGGTTCGATTCCCGGTCAGGGCACGTGCCCAGTTTTGGGCTTGATCCCCAGTAGGGGACGTGCAGGAGGCAGCCGATCAATGACTCTTATCATTGATGTTTCTCTCTCTCTCTCCCTCTCCCTTCCTCTCTGAAATCAATAAAGACATATTAAAAAAAAACAAGAACATCAACCTGTAGATGATTTTTATAAGAGTTTATTAGTTTGAGCCAAACAGAGGACACACCTGGAAGCAAGATCTCAACAGATTGAGAAAAATACCTAGAATGATAGTTTGTAGTCTCTTTTTACACGTGGAATTAAGAAGGGGATGTAAGAGAGGTCACATAAACTTGGACGAAAGCAAGGCAGAGAAATCTCTAGTATTGGATTGCAGTATAGTCAACAGGATTATGTGCTCTCCTGAGGGGGTTTAAATTCCCAGGTATGCCTGGAGCATGACTACCTATCATGACCTGCCCAGTTAGGATTTTATGATCAGATTGCCCTGGGAGCTTTCTGTCACTGAATTTGTACATAGCTTTTTCGTTCAGACTGTCTTTGACCACCACACTAGCCAGAGGAATGCCACACTTGTAAATCAGCCAAAGAAGGAAATGATGCACAGCTTTGGGAACTGAAGTATTCAAGTACTGGAAGGCTTTTGAAAGAGGAGTGTTGAGGGTCTGAAAGACTCAGTCATGAGCGTGTAGTGACTGGGGTGAGGCTGTCGCTCCCTTGCTGCCTTTGTAGTATGGTTGGAGCGAAAGCTGTGGATTGGCTTCCAGAAATGTGCTACTGTCATAGATTGGTCGACCTTCGTGCGCATGTGTGCTGATGAAACACTGTTTCTGATTAATTGCTATCAGTGTCTGATCGCTTGTCTTTGATCCATCAATTCTGGTGCTTACTAATTCAAGGCTTGAGGTTATGTCCAAGCAGTCAGTCCTAGGCTTTCCTGGAGACTAGGAATATTTTTATATCTATTATGTAATTTATTTTTAAAGTATATATTTTTATTAATTTTATTTTTACTGTTGACAGTATTACAGATGTGCCCATTTTGCCCTCTTTGCCCACGTCCACAAAGCTCCACACCCCTCCCTCTCCCCCTGGCCCTCACCACAGTGTTGTGTCTGTGGGCTGTGCATACATGTTCTTTGGCTAATCCCTCCTTCTTTCCTCCAGTCCCCCTCCCCCTCCCCGATGGCTGGCTGGCTGTTCCATGTATCCAGGCCTCTCTATTTTGTTCATGTTTGTTGTCAGATTCCACATATAAAGGAGATCATATGGTATTTGTCTTGCTCTGACTGGCTTATTTCATTTGTCATAATGCTCTCCAGGTCCATCTACGCTGTCGTAAGAGATAAGATTTCCTTCTTTTTTACGGCTATGTAGTGTCCCATCTTGTAAATGTCCCACAGCTTTTTTATCTACTCATCTACTGATGGGCACTTGGGCTGTTTCCAGATCTTGGCTATTGTAAATGACACTTCCATGAACATAGGGGGGCATATATTCTTTCAAAATGGTGTTTCAGGATTCTTAGGGTATGTTCCCAGAAGTAGGGTTGCTGGGTCAAAAGGCAGCTCCATATTTAACTTTCTGAGGAAACTCCATACTATTTTCCAAAGTGTCTGCACCAGTCTGCATTCCCACCAGTATGCACTGGGGTTCCCTTTTATTATTACAGGCTTTATTCTTTTTTTAATCCTCATGCAGGATATTTTTCCATGGATTTTTAGAGAGTGGAAGGGAGGGGGAAGAGAGAGAGAAACATCAGTGTGAGAGAGACACATTGATTGGTTGCCTCCCACACGAACCACGACCGGAGAAGGAGCCTGCAAGCAAGGTATGCACCCTTGACTGGGAATTGAACCCGAGACCCTTAGGTTCACAGGCCGACACTAACCACTCAGCGAAAGCAGCCAGGGCAATACAGGCTTTATTCTTAATAGATTTTCTATTATTGGGATGTCCTTGGAAAGTACTAATTAATTTTTATTTAGTTTTTATTTGAAAAGACTGAGGAAGTTAGGAATGTATTTGCTTTCACAGCAGGTTGAAATAAAGAGCAACTCTAAAGGCATTGCCTTGCCGGGCGTGGCTCAGCGGTTGCCAGTCGACCTAGGATCCAGGTGATCGGGGTTCGATTCCTGGTCAGGGCACATGCCCAGGTTGCAGGCTTGATGACTCTCTCATCATTGATGTTTCTCTCTCTCTCCTTTCCTCTCTCTGAAATCAATAAATATATATTTTTTTAAAAAAAGGCATTAAGTTTTCTCTTAAACCTCTATCAAGATGGAGCGCTCGTGTCAGAGCTGAGTAGAATATTGGTAACAATATTTTACCATGGAATATTCAGAAGTTCTATAGCCCTAGTCAGTTTGTCTCAGTGGTTAGAGTGTCAGCCGGTGGACTGAAGGGTCCTGGGTTTGATTCTGGCTAAGGGCACATACCTTGGTTACAGGCTCCATCCCTGGTCAGGGTGCATGTGGGAGGCAACCAGTTGCTGTCTCTCTCTCTCCCCCCCAACAGTCTCTTTGAAAAGCAATGGAAAAAATATCCTTGGGTGAGGATTGAAAAAAAAAAAAAACTTATATAAGTATATACTTTATTCTTAAGGTACAAGCAATCACTAAATATCTCCACACTAGGTGATGACTAGTGTTAAACATCAGATGTCAGAATGAGCCATGCTTAAAAAGTGGAACATCATTGAAAGTCATCTTCATTAAAAAGGGTAAAGAAAGGTGGCAGGATTTAGATTGGAGCAGCATTTGACAATTATATGAAGAATGGACAGTAAGTTAGTTTTATTAGCAATATAATATTAGTAATATAGATTACTAGTAATGTAATTGGTGGAGCTGGGTATTATGAGTTTTTTGTCTTATTGGGTTAGGTTAGTTAAGTATGACATAAAGATGGTATTTTATCATGGGATAGTGAAAAAGTTATAAAATGATATAGGGAAAACTGGCAATTCACTTAGAAAATTAATAATGTGGATAGTGATCCATAAACAGTTCAATTTAGACAATGTTTATTTTGTATATTTACTGCTAAATTCCATCAGGAAATTTCATGATGTAATGAAAAATCATCAAGTAAAATACATTTAAAAAAAATTCTAATGCTTAAGCTTTTCACATGTAAATATTACTACACAAAATATACAGCATAAAACTACCCCACCACAAATCGCTGTATGCACCATTTCTGAGACACATACCAAACAGAAAAGTGCCTTTTCATTGGTTGTAATGATTTTAGCTCTATGTAACAGAAAACATTAACCATGTCAAGTGCCAGACAGTAACTGTGTTAGGCTGTATGGGCCATAAGGCCTCTGCTAGAACTACTAACCTCTGCTCTTGGAGTGTGAAAGGGGCCACAGGTAAAACAGAAATGAATGGTTTTTGTCTGTATTAGTGTTCTAGTAAGACTTTATTAATGGGAAACTGAAATTTGAATATCTCATAATTTCACATCACAAAACACTCTTGAATTTTTTCAACTATTTAGAAATGGAAAGCCATTCTTAGCCTTCCAGCTACAAAAATGGGCAGTGGGCTAGCTCTGAATTATTTATGGGAAAATGTACAACCAAACCAAAGGATACTACAGCAAAAAAGTGGGGGATGAATGTTGGCAGCTAATCTTTTTCCTTCAGCATAATTCAAGAAATACAAATTACAACGAGGATAATATCTAACATATAGCTCTTTTTCTATCTCAGAAACTATTCTAAGTGCATGAAAAATAACTCATTTATACTCCAACCAACCCTAACCTATTATCACTTCCCCTAAAGAGGAAAGCTGAGGCATCGTGGGTAAGCAGCTGGCCCGGGCTGGAATCTGTGCCTACGCCATGCTGCTTCTCCCAGGAAGAAAGGCAATGCAGGGCATTTAGGATGCGCTGTAAACTATAGAACAGACAGCTCTGTACCTGCTAAATCATCAGTAAGAAAGATAACATTTCTTTACGTATCATTTGTTTTTACTGTGTAGAGTATTTTCAGCTGTTTTAAAAAATAAACGTGGGCTTTTCCTATAAATAAATGTGCCCCTAATGTAAAATGTAGCTGACAGCCCTGGCCGGCTTGGCTCAGTGGTTAGAGCGTTGGGCTGAGGACTGAAGGGTCCCAGGTTCGATTCTGGCCAAGGGCACGCACCTTGGTTGTGGGCTCGATCCCTGGCCCTTGTCAGGGTACATGTGGGAGGCAGCCAAATGATGTCTCTCTCTCTCACATTGATGTCTGTCTCTCTCCTTTCCACTCTCTCTGAAAAGCACTGGAAAAAATATCCTCAGGTGATGATTAAAAGAAACAAAAAACATAGCTGACAGTTGAAAATTTTACAAAAACATTTTTAACTTCTTTCTGAACGATTAGTTCAGTAACAATATACATAACCATTTAAAAATAACAGGAAACAGGAGAAAATGATGTTACAATTTTAAAAAATTATTGTACTTAAATACACATTAATAGGAATCACTGCTGGAACTTAATGTGGATTATCTTCATGTACATAAAGCTATTGAACTAATGTTATGTATTTCCCTATGTACAGTTATGGACTCCACAGGCACATCAGACATCCACAGTCCATGTTTCATAGCGCACTCACACTCACACTCACACGCACACTCTACATACTACATACTACAGGACTCTCCACCTGCTTAATCATGTTGCTGGATTATTCATCTGTACTTTTCAAAAGCCTCCTATGTCTAGACATTTGTAGCTTTCTAAAAACAAACAACCACCTTACAATGAGATCTCTAACATGACTTCTAGTATAACTACTTCCCGCATTACAGATTCTCTGAATTTTCTTTTGAAAGCTTTCATATATTTCAAGGCTCTCAGTGTCGACCATCTGACCTTTGCTAAGACATCCCTCCGACAGAGGCTCCTGTATCTGTCCCAGTCTTCGCAGGTACCCCCGAGTGTTCTAACTAGTGTGAAAAGGCTTCTGAATGCTCAGGATACCGACAGGAGTTTCTCACGCATGTGAGCCTTTGGCTATCTAGTGATGGCTGCCCTGGCAGGAAATTTCCTGGCCTTCATTCACTTACAGGGCTTCTCTCCTGTGTGATTTCTATATTGTACAATAAAAGTATGACTTCTCAAGGGTTTCTTCATGTTTTAAGATTTGTAGTGTCTCTGCCATCTATGCTGTCTGATATTCAGAAAAGTCTGACATATGGTAAAATTCTTGCCCTTATAGAATTTCTCTGTGTATTTCTTCTCTGTGAAGAAAGACTGTGGCTAAATTTTCCCATATTGATGATATGCATAAGGGTTTTGCCTTATGTAAATTATCTAATTGTTCTGAAGAATGCATTCAGGCAGAATTTCCCAATTTATAGTAATTTATTAGCTCTTTTTTGCTCTGTGTGTCTTCTGATGTGCAGTGAGTTCTGATTTCTGGATAAAAGTTTTCTTACAATCTTGACATTCATAGGGCTTCTCCCCTGTGTGTTTTCTCTGGTGTATAATAAAATGTGACTTCTGAGAGAATAACTTCCCACACTCCTTACATTCATAAGGTTTCTCCCCAGTGTGAGTTCTCTGATGTAACCTCAGGACTGAATTCACAGAGAAAGATTTACCACATTCCGTACATTCATAGGGCTTCTCCCCTGTGTGTTTTCTTTGATGTTTAGTGAGGTCTGATTTATAGTAAAAGTGTTTTCCACATTTATTACATTCAAAGGGTTTCTCTCCTGTGTGGGTTCGCTGATGTACGGTGAGGGCTGACTTCTGGTAGAAGCATTTCCCACATTCACTACATTCATAGGGTTTCTCCCCAGTGTGAGTTCTCTGATGAGTTTTGAGGTGTGTGTTTCTAGAGAAGAATTTCCCACATTCCTTACACTTATAGGGTTTTTCCCCTGTATGTGTTCTTTGATGTACTGTAAGGTGTGATTTCTGGGAAAAGTATTTCCCACATTCCTTACATTCAAAGGGTTTCTCCCCCGTGTGTGTCTTCTGATGTACCATTAGGTATGCCTTAACGTAGAAGAACTTCCCACATTCAGCACATTCAAAGGGTTTCTCTCCTGTGTGTGTTTTCTGATGTTCCGTGAGGTGTGGCTTCTGGTAGAAGGACTTCCCACACTCACCACATTCGTACGGTTTCTCCCCTGCGTGAGTTCTCAAGTGTCTACTGAGGGATGACAGGTGGTAAAAAGTTTTCTTACATTCTTGACATTCATAGGTTTTCTCTCTATTGTGAGTCTTCTGATGTCTTGTGAGGTCTGTATTCTTAGGGACAGATTTCCCACCTTCACCAGGTTTGTCCTTCGAGTGAGTCTTCTGATGTCCTATAAGGGTAGACTCCTGGCAGAAGGACTTCCCACATTCATTGCATGTATAGGTTTTTGCTTTGGTATGAGTTTGCTGACTTGTGAGTTGTCCAGTCCTAGAGAAAAATTTCCAAATTCATTAATGCATAAGGCTTTTTTATGTGTCTGATGTGTGTATTTTCCAAATAACTCTAAATGTGGTAGGCAGTTAGACGTTAAGCAGAGCAAGAATAATGGGCCAGGTACAAAAGATCACCAGGGCAGAAAACCCCGGTACCTAGCAATGGGAAAAACTGGGTTACACCCAGTTTAATCCAGTGTAACATTTCCTCACATAGCATATTGCTAGTTATTTGGTTTAAACCCCCCGACCTTTCATTTGCTTGTGTGGTTCAGATCTTCCCTTGATCTCCTCCCCCAACCTCCTCTCCCACCTCTTGCATGTCACTAGTCATACAGTAGACCCCTCAGAGGAGGAACAAGTAGCCAAAGAGAGGCTTTATGCAACTCCCATTCAGGCACTTGCACAACCACTCCCTTAAGCATTAACCCCTAGAGATTACATCTAGGCCTCAATTATGTTTCAGTTCCAGGCCCAGAAAAGCAGCAAAACCATACAAATGCTGCAATTGCTGACATCAGGACCAGCTGCAATGACTAAAGACTCCTTTGATTGGGTGCCACCCAATCAAATGACACAACTGGAAATCTGATGAATATTCTATTGGGATCCTCCTCTGAGACCTGCAGATAAATACCCGCAAGATGGAGGGCGCAGGGCAGCTCCCCATCCTGGGAGCACACCTGAGCCTTTATCCTCCCCCTCTTCTTCCACCCAGGGGCATTATCTTTACCTTTCTCTCTCCTAAGTTCCAAGGGCTCTTCTTTTGCCTTTGTAACTTGTTTCCTGAGCCAATTCCTTCTATAGCTCACATCTTCTATCTCTGTGACTTACAAAATAAACTTTCTCTTATAGTTTGAGTCTTGACTCTGAATTCTTTCTTAGCCAGAACTCAAGTACCAAGGTTGCTGAACTGAGGTCTGGTCTGACTTCACCAGTGTAACACCTGGTGCCATTCTTGTCGCAACATAAGAACCGATTTCTACAGATTTGCCCGTATTCGTTAGATTCACAGGGTCTCTCCACTGTGAATGTTCTCTGATACACATCATGGTTTACTGTTTCATAGAGGGAACTTTTACCTGCATTATATACACAGGGTCTCTCAACCACCTGAACTCTACTGTGTATAACAAAACCTCCCTGACTGTCAACTCTGAACAATCAGAAGACTGCTTCAATATTTGAATCCCCTGATCCTAAGCAGGGCCTCCACTACGAGAAATGGCTTTCTCACTTGCATTATATTCTTTGGAACTTGCTCCAGTATTAGTTTTCTCACATTTAGTACTAACTAGTGCTCTCCCACTTCCTGTGTCCTCATCAAGACCCTCACAAAGCTTCTAATCTTAAAATTGAATTCTTGACCTTACCTTGAATTTTCAGCTTGGCTTTTCTGGTGTCTTGCTCCTGGGTCACGAATATTCCGTGGGTCTGCAAAGGAATACAAAATTTAATACCCTATAAATCATAATACAATATTACGATCATAGGGTTGGGTTGATTCTTAGGCTCAGGTCAGTTTCCACAAATGAAGCAACTCCCAAATGCAAATTTCCACCATGTCATTGGTTTAGACAAAAATAACAAACACTAAAAACTGCTGTATCAGAAAGGGGAAGGAACATGGTTATAAACCCAAGTACCTCTGACACTTTACAAATATAACATGACCTTAAAAACTCAGAGGAGAAAGTTAAGACAAAAAAAAAAAAAAAAAAAAAGAACAGAGCAGAGAACAAAAATATTTAAAGTGTTGCTGAACAGGAATGTGAGATTCATTCAGAGTGCTGTGAGCCCATCAAGGACAATGAACAGTAGTACGGTGCTAAAAATCAGTAGGCAACTATGTTCACTGGAAATATCAGGGCAAAGGTTAAACTGGATGAAGGAGCTAAAGTATTAGGTTTTTATCTGCTCACATCTAGTTTATTGTGTTAGGATTCCTAGTTAGCAGGCTATAAACTTCTACTTTATTTCCTCTTTACCATACACAACAATCTAGATGTCAATACTAAAGTGACTCACTCAGAACATCAATTTCCTCATGTTTAGAGGAACAGCTCTATAGCTCAGGCTTTCACTCTATGTTTAGTTGGCTTAATTTTCACTGGGACAGGGGAACCAGGAACATATATGTTCAAAAGGAAAGATTTTTAAAAAGGAGAGTGTAAGCCATCCATCTAACAGAATGAATTCCCAGTTATAGCACAGAGATGTTCAACCCCAACCACCAAATACTGCATCTTCAAAGCAATGTTATCTATGACTCAACAAGTCTTATTCTACTTTCATGTCTTAGCTGCCACATGTCTACTTCAGTTTACTACATGATCATTAAAGATTAATTGTTCAACATCATTCTGGAACCTTTACTGATCTTCATATTTATTCCTGTTTAAATGCTTAAAAGAAAATCAAAGATTATGAGCAGAGGCTTGTAGTTGGAAGTTCATGGCATTTGTAAGGGAAAAATGAAAGTTATTTGGGACTTGTGCAAGGTTAAGTTGGATACACATGAAATAAGATTCTATTTATGAAAGACACTTAAGAGAGTAAGTGAAGTGATGATTAGCATGTGTTTGGGGGTCACAGGAGAAAGAAGATGCAGTTGGCAAGAAAGGCCTGGACTAGTTCCTGAGAGAAAATTAATTTCCCCGTGTTTTGTAATAGTGAGTCAGTGTATGTTCACTGTGATAGGCCAGCAGCAATGTGTTTGCAGCATGACACAAATACTATGAGGTTTTAATGAAAAATTAGCTTCTGACTCTGAGAAAGAAGGGATTTAGATTAGTGGAACTATCCTGTAAAATAGTAAAATGTGGTACCAGAATACAAATAAGGTAAAGATGCTGGAGACGTCAATTTTAGGCCTAAAAAGCAAAGCTTTGGTCTAGAAAGTTACTATACAGGGCAGAAGACAGAGAGTGTCTGTCTCTTGTTAACTGAAACTGAATCAACAAATATCTAGTGAACAACGAATATACACCAGGCATTGCTTCTGCACATGAGTGTACACGTCAGAAAACACACGAAAAGCATTGAAGGAAGCAAAGTGAGATTATCTTTTTTGGTTTGTTTTATTTTTTATCTTAGTGTTATTTTAGGAAGGATGATCAGTACTTTGTGTAAAAGACGAACACCATCTAGAAGTATCAACTCTGAAAGAATAAAATTGATGAAAGGCACAATGATTTATACTTTAATTTCAGAGTTTAAAGAAAGGACAGGAAGTTAAAACATGCAGAAAATACTGAAGGCATTTTATTGCTAATAAAAGGAGGGAAATGGCATTTGAAAAAAATGTATAAGTCAGATTTATAAACACGTTAGGATCATAGCTGCATACTTTGATGGCAGAGGGTAACTAGGAATTCTAGAAAAAAGACAAAAGTTTAAGTCAAGGTCACTGTATAAGAAAGGTAAACCTATATAAACATTGAGCAAAGGAAGGACTTTCACTGGTGAGAATAAAACTTGGAGGTGTGATTTACGTCGCTTACATGTGCAGATCAAGGGTCCTCATTCATTTCCAAACATACAGGGCACTTAAAGATTCCTGAAAAATGTTTCAAAAGGCAAAAGGCACCAGGAATCCCGCCACTAGTAACAAGGGCTGTAATTTCTCACTCACCAGGGCCATTCCGATGGACAAATTCTACTTCTAATATCCACGGCTCCTTTCCTTGCTTCAGCCTCAAGACTGCATTTGGCTTATTTGCAAAATAACCTATTAATGGGAAAGATAAAGAAAATATAAATTGCTTGGAATTTAGGGACTCTGAAGGACAGGAAGTACACTTTTCAGAGCAGAACAATGAAGGTCCCCCTAGGCCTGGCAAATTTAGAGTCTTTCAGTTGGGAGGGTGGAGACACAGATATTTTTTCTGGTACCCAAAATGGATCCATCAACTTTGACCCCTGAAGCAAAACTACTACTATTCAAATCTACATGTTCCACAGGTGGGAAGGAAAATGTAAGCTACTGGGAGTCACGGAGGGGCATTTTTCTCACCCACTGAGACCAGGTGGCGGTAGTTCTCCTGCATCACCTCCCTGTACAGGGTCCTCTGAGCAGCGTCCAGTAATTGCCACTCCTCCTTGGTGAATTCCACAGTGACATCTTTGAGTGTTACTGGTCCCTGTAACATGTTTCAGTTCAAACGGAAGTAATCAGAATAGAGAACCACTGAAAAGACGTGTAAACGAGCTATTAATGTGCCAACTGTAGAATTTACTCTGGAAAGTTAAGATACACTGCTACTCTGTACCTGGATTTACACATAGATAAAATATTTGTCTGTTATATACTCACTGGGACATCATTCAATGCCTAGATCTCTGCTGGAGACACAAAGGTGAATGAAAACAACTGTTCTTGGTACCAAGGAGCTTACATTCTGACAGGGAGGCAAAGATGTAAATTCCCAAGTGCAATATGCACAGCAGGTGCTGTGACGGAGATACGCACAAGATGTAAGAGGTCACAAATGGGGATGGGTGTTTTGCATTATCAAGTTAGATTCTATTAGGTGGTTCAACTGACTATGTAAACTTCAGGAATTAAGAAAACAGAACTGGCAAAGGCATGAATGCATAAAAAACGGCAAGTTTAGGAAACTATGAATTAGACAGCATAATGTGAGAATACAGTGTAGCACCCAAATTAGTTAGTTATGTGACAGTCAAGTCAGGTTACAAAACATGGAGTAATTCTGAATTTGCCATTTGGGACATTAAAATATATTTTGTACACCCACTTAATTAAGGTCTGTTTATTTTTATCTTTAAAAATGTCCTTATTGATTTGAGAGAGGAAGGGAGAGGGAGAGAGAAACATCAATGATGAGAGAGTCACTGATCGGCTGCCTCCTGAACGCCCCCTACCGGGGATGGAGCCCGCAACCCGGGCATGTGCCCTGACTGGGAATCGAACTGCGATCTCCGGGATCCCACGTCGATGCTCAACCGCTGAGCCATGACAGCCAGGCATAATGTCTGTTTATTAAAAATTGCCAAGTTTTCTTTCTTGTATTTAGGTGAAAAATAGGAATCAATATTCTGCTATTTCACACTACATGGACTGACTTACGTACCTTTGGGATGTTCACTCTTTCGCTTTGGAGACACAAATACAGATAATGGGGAGCCACTGAAGAGACAGATGTAAGCATTAGGGTCATCTGAGATTAGTAATTTAGAATAAAACTAAAATAGAAGAGGCAAATGGCACATCAGAAAGATGGAGTGTTAGAAAATTTAGAGACATATGTAAGCAATAAACATTTACATTAAAGTAGCAGCAGTGGGGGAAAGCAGCATCATACAACTTTGTAAAATTGGAGATTAATAACTATGTGAGAAAAGGCAAGGGTAACTCACATAGTGTCTATACGGTTAGGTAATGGCTACAGCCATAATGCTAATTATTTTGTTGATAGAACTATTTAAGGCTATAAAACTTCCTCTGATAATTGCTTTATTTGTATTCTATAGAATCTGAAATGTATTTTCAAATGAAGAACATGCTGGCTGGATATAAATTCTTGCTTCACACTTTTTCTTCTTGCAAATACTGTTCTGGCCCTGGCTGGTGTGGCTCGGTTGGCTGAGCGTTGTCCCACGCACCAAGAGGTTGTCGGTTCAGTTCCCAGTCAGGGCACATGCCTGGGTTGTGGGCTCGAGCCCCAGTAGGGGGCGTGCAGGAGGCAGCTGATCCATGTTTCTCACATGGTGGGAAGGAATGAAAGGGTTACTCTAGTTCTTAGTTGAAAAGCTCTCCCTTCTGTTGGCATAGTATGTTCCCATTCTTAAAGAACAGCATCATTGCAGGTGGCGCCTTGAGATCCTGTGATACTGCGTTCTCTTCTTAGGACGCCTGATTTCAGTTGCTTGTTTTCTTATTTGCTGCCTTCACCACCAAGCGTGCAAGGTGTTCCTCCTTTCCTCTGAGTTGCTGCCTGCTCCAGGCTGCTCCTGTGTTCCTGCACACATTCTAAGTCCCTTCTTTTCTAGTCCAAGTCTCAGTGCTTAGATCCCACAGGTCTCAAACCTCTTATCCACCTTTCTCCAGTCAGGGCAAGAGCCTCTGCTTCTGGAAGCATGCCGACTGGATCTTTTGTTCCTTTACAGCTAGAACACTAGCATCTCTGCTCTCCCATCACAGTCCTCCTGACCTCCTGCTCTGGAGTGAGGTTCAAGCTGCTGCTGCTCTCCTGACAATGATCTCCCAACGTATATGGAAACTGAAGTTTCCTGTCTCCTAGCCATACAACAGGAGTAGGTTATGGCGTATAGAAACTTTTGTATTTTACCAACTAACATTATTCTATGGAAAATAGGAAATCCATAAAAGAAAACAGGGGGAAAAAAGAGTAAGTTGGGCAGATGGAAGCAGTGATTTGAATTTTGTTCATGCTGTGCTTGAAGCGACTGTGGAACATACAGCTGGAACTGTCCATTTGGGCAGCTATACATATATTTCACAAATATTTTATATGTATGAACAGTAGGGTTCTAGAAGTATCAAAAAAGGGGGGGATCTGTGGGATCCCTTAAGGGATCATTTAAGATGATTGGCAAGACCATGAAGCCTGAGAAAAGGCCAAGAGGAAAGTGTGAGGAGACTAAATAGAGAGATTTACAAATAACAAACAGCTAATGCTCAAAACCAAAATGTAAAATGTCCAAATTAGTATAACTCAATAAAAGCATAGCAAAAAAATAAAAGCTGCAATCAGTAAATAAGACAACTTGAGGAAGTTTTGGAAGATCTAGAATTCATAAGAATCAGAAAAGAGAAACCAGCTTTTGGACACATCCAAACAGCTCAGGAAAAGTTTTATGCTTAGAGCTGAAGGGCTGCAATTTGACAAGGACAGTAGAGTGAATGATATGGCAGAGAAATTAATCACATTCAAGCTTAAATGACTATTAACATTTTTTTTTTTTTTAAACAAAGAGCATCCGGTGTGTTCAGGAGTAAGGTCAGAGGAATGGTGGCATGAGAGATCCCTTTGTTTTCTCCCCTTGAAATTTCAACAGCCATAACTCAAAAAGGGTCCCCTGCTCTACATACAGGCATGCCTGAGAGATCTGCACATTGAAGCACCGAAAGGTGGGCAAGTGGGAACAAAAGGGGAGATGAGAAGGGAGGAGAGCACAGCCCTGCGGCCAGGCTCATGATGGGGCTCAACCTGGAGAGGGGAGAAACCTGGCTGTGACTGGCGCTTCCTTCAGCTGGAAGGAGCAGGGAGATTCAGTGGGCATTCCCACTCGAGTGGGCACGGGCACAGCACTGGGGTGCCGGTGCAGCTGTTGGGCCGTTGGCATTCCAGAGCGAGAAACAAAGCCACAGAGCCCTGCCACCCCACAGACTTTCAGAACTCGCTCCCCTTTGCCCTTGGTTTGGGGTTGGGGAACACATTATCTGCGTACGTGAGAACTGGTGTGACAGATCACTGTTTCCTGAGTGAAGGGTGCACTCTCTGATCCCCTGGCGGAGGTCCGAGGTGGTATCACTAGGAGGGCAAAACAAAGGCGGCAGCTGCTTCCTCCAGAACCCCACCCCCACACATCTTGGCCACACTGACGGCAGCCAGAGACAAAGCTGCTGGGATCAGCATTAGGGTTTCACAGAGCTGAGCAACTTGTGATTCGGCACCGGCTACAGGAAAGTAATAGAAAGACCTCCTCCTAGCAATCTGCTAGAGAAATGTCACTCATACATAGATGCCTAGGCAGAGAAGGAACCAATCAAATGCCATGAATAACCAAGGTAGTGAGGCAGCTCAGGAAAAATAAATCTCCAGAAAGCAAACTTAAACATGCAAAAATATGGGATATAAATGACAGAGAATTCTGAGTGCATTAAATTGCCTGTCTGTATGCAAAAAAATGCAGACAGGCAATTTAATGCACTCAGAAAACAACAAAAAAAAAAATGAACAAAATGAGTACTTTACCAAAGAGTTTGAAAGTTTTAAAAAGAACCAAACAGAAATTCTGTAAATAAAGAACTCAGTAAAAGAGATCAAGAATGAACTAGCAAGCATAGAAAATAGAGCAGACCAGACGGAAGAAAGATAGAAATCTAAAAATGACACAGAGGGAAGAAGAGAGAGAAGTGAGCTTAAAAAAAATTAATACAACAAAGAGCTGGTTCTTTGAAAAGATTAATAAAGTTGACATACCCCTGGCTACACTCACTAAGTAAAAAAGAGGAAAGACTCATACAAACAATATCAGAAATGAAAGCGAAGTCACCACAGACATCACAGAAATACAAAGGATCATACTAGAATACAATGAAAAACTATGTGTCACCAAATTCAATAACCTAGAAGAAATGGCTAACTTCCTAAAAGTATATAACATTCCTAGACTGAATCATGTAGAATTGAAAAATCTAAATAGATCAGAAAACAGTGAGGAAATTGAAACCACCACCAAAAATCTCACAAAAAATTAAAGTCCAGGACCAGATGGCTTCACTAGTGAATTCCACCAAACATTCCAAGAAGATTAGATACCTGTCCTTCTCAAGCTTTTCCAAAAAACTGAACGAGAGGCAATACTTCCTAACACATTTATGAAGCCAACATAACCCTGATACCAAAACCTGGCAAGGGTAACTAACACACAAAAAAAGACAACTACACATATTTTTTTTAAAAAGACAACTACAGATGCAAAAATCTTAAACAAAATATTAGCAAGTTGAATACAATAATATGTTAAAAAAATAATACATCACAATCAAGTGGGGTTCATTCCAGGGGCACAGGATGGTTCAACATACGCAAATTGATCAATGTAATGCAACATATTAACAAAGGATAAAAATCATATGATCTTATCAGTAGATGCAGAAGGTAAGTATCTCAACACAACAAAGGCCATATGTGACAAACCCTCAGCCAGTATCATACTCAGTGATGAAAAACTGAAAGCTTATCCTCTAAAACCAGGAACAAGACAAGGATGTCCACTCCCACCACTCTTATTCACATAGTTCTGGAAGTCCTAGCCAGAGCAACCAAGCAAGAGAAAAAAATAAAAGGCATCCAAATTGGGAAGGAAGAAGTAAAAGTGCCACTTTTTGCAGATGACATGATTCTATACATAGAAAACCCTAAGGACTCCACCAAAAAACTATTAGAAACAATAAACAAAGTTGCAGAATACAAAATCAATGTACAAAAATCCACTGCTTTCCTATATACTAAAAATGAAACTTCAGAAATAGAAATGAAAAACAAAACAAAACACCACACACCAAAAAACCAATTCCTTTTGCAACTGCAACGAATAGAATAAAATACCTAGGGATAAACTTATCAAAGGATGCGAAGGACCTATATGGTGAAAACTACAAAGCATTATTAAAAAGAAATTTAAAAAGACACAACGAAATGGAAAGATATTCCATGTTCATGGATCAGAAGACTCAAAATAGATTAAAAATGGCCATATTACCTAGAACATCATACAGATTTAGTGTAATCCCGACCGAACCCCAATGTCATATTTTATAGAAACTGAACAAAAAATCATCAGATTTGTATGGAACCACATAAGATCCCAAATAGACAAAAAGCAATCCTGAGAAAAAAAGAATGAAGCCGGAGGTATCACATTACCTAACTTCAAATTATATTGCAGAGCTACGATAATCGAAACTGAATGGTGGCGGCATGAACAAGGGAAAGCAAAAGAAAACAAGTGTGGAACCATGACGCAAATGCTTAGTCTCAGAGATCAGAGCCTTAAAGAGAAGGATAGATTAAAGCCTAAAAAGAAAGAAAAGAAAGATCCCAGTGCACTCAAAGAAAGAGAAGTCCCCCAACACCCCTCCCGCTTATTTTTCCAATATAACACACAGCTGGGCCCACCTTACCACATCCTGGTTGATACCAACTTTATCAACTTGTCCATTAAGGCCAAACTGGCCTTAGTGCAGTCAGTGATGGACAGTCTCTATGCCAGCTGTATCCCTCGTTTAACTGCCTGTGCGATGGCTGAAACTGAGGAATTGGGGCAGAAGCATCGAGTGGCTCTAAGGATCGCCAAGGATCCTGGATTTGAACAATCACCATGCACACACAAAGGGACCTATGCAGACTGCTTGGTACAGAGAGTAACTCGGCACAAGTGTTACATTGTAGCCACAGGTGACTGGAGACCTTAAATGAAGAATCTGGAAGATCCCTGGAGTTCCCATCATGTACATTTCTAACCATAGGTACAACACTGAGCGGATGCCCGAGGACTACGGAGCCCCTTGGTTCTAACACTTAAAAGACAAAGTTCCTCTGCTTCCCTTCAACCAACTACTTCTGCTGCCAATTTATTAAACATGCTACAGCATGAGTTATTGCTCCACTCACCCACTTGCTCTGTTATGAGCTGACTACGGTTAAATACCCTTTCTTTTTGATGTTTTGAAAATTTTTTTAATTTGTTGCATCTTTTTATAAATCAGATGACTGCTCACAAACAAACAAACAAAACCCAGAATGGTATTGGCAGAAAAACAGGTGCACAGGTCAATGGAAGAGAATTGAGAGCCCAGATATAAAACCGCACGTATATGGGCAGATGATTTTTGACAAAGGAGCCAGAAACACACAATGGAGAAAAGAAAGCCTCTTCAATAAAAGGTGCTGGGAGAATTGGAAAGCCATATGCAAAAGAATGAAACTAGACTACAGTTTGTCCCCAGGTACAAAAATTAATTCAAAATGGATCAAATACCTAAATATAAGATCTGACACAATAAATTACATAGAAGAAAACATAGGCACTAAACTTATGGATCTTGGTTTGATTACCACAGAATTCAGATTAGTTTTCTCTGGGTAATAATGTAAGAGATGAAGGAGTGTCACACAGGGGCTTCAAAGGTACTAGCAAATTTTATTTCTTAAGCCAGGAAGGGGATACACTGCTGTTTGACTTTACCTCTCCCCTTTCTTCCCTTAAGTCACANGTACTAGCAAATTTTATTTCTTAAGCCAGGAAGGGGATACACTGCTGTTTACGTAATCAATGTTCCCTAAATTATACATAAACATTATGTACATTCCTTTGATTGTATAAAATGATTTAAATATTTTTAATGGACCAATAAGTAAAATAAAAATTCACTGTTTTCTACAAACTACAAGGTCCTACATATTCTAGCTCCTTTTATTTCTTTGACTTTACCTCTCCCCTTTCTTCCCTTAAGTCACAGCTCTCTAGCTTTGATGTCCTAAACACTGTTTCTGGAACATGCTTCATGGTGTTTGTACTTGCTGTTTCTCCTATCTAGAATGCTCTTCTGACATATTTCTGCTTGGCTCCCTGTCTCATTTTATTCAGAACTTTCCTCAAATATTACTTTTTAAAAAAATATATCTTTATTGATTTCAGAGAGAGGAAGGGGGAGAGATAGAAACATCAGTGATGAAAGAGACATTGATTGACTGCCTCCTGCACGCCCCGGACTGAGGATCGAGCCCAAAATCCCGGCATGTGCCCTGAGTGGGAATCAAACTGTGATCTCCTGGATCATAGGTCAATGCTCAACCACTGAGTCATGCCCAGCCTGGCCCTTTTTTTTTAATCCTCACCTGAGGATATTTTTTCCATTGCTTTTCAGAAAGAGTGGAAGGGGAAGAGAAAAAGATAGGGAGGGAGAGGGAGAGAGAGAGAGAGAGAAACATGGATGTGAGACACATCAATTGGCTGCCTCCCACACGAGCCCCAACCAGGGCGAAGGATTGAGCCCGCAATAGTGAGGTACGTGCCCTTGGCTGGAATCGAACCCACCACCCTTCAATCTGTAGGCTGATGCTTTAACCACTGAGCTGAACCAGCTAGGGCAAATATTACCTTTAAGAGTGGACAATCCCTAACCAACTTATTCCCTGTTTTTCACTTCACTGTATTCCTCTGTCCTCTTAAGTTGCTTGAGTTTGCCTCTGAGCATGCATATCAGAAATATTAATCAAATGTTGACACATTATATAACATAAAAAAAGGTATCACATTTGTAAGTATCCTCACCAATCTCATCAGAAAAGTCTTTAAGTATTAAAAGTTGTCAAGTTCATAGTGAAGGATGCATGTTTTCCAAAATTCTAATTTTCACTTAAAGCTTACATTTTAACATTAGCAACAAATAGTGACAGTTATTTTCATTGACATGCTCACTTCACTCACTTTTGAGAAAATGTTTGTTAAATACCCAAGTCTGAATAACCAGTTTGTCTGCCAGTTGCTCTTTCAAGTAAAAATAGTATTCCATGAAAAAAGGGGCTAGCCCGGCCGGGCGTGGCTCAGCGGTTGAGCATCGACCTAGGATCCAGGAGATCGGGGTTCGATTCCTGGTCGGGGCACATGCCCAGGTTGCAGGCTAGGCAGCTGATCAATGACTCTCTTATCATTGATGTTTCTGTCTCTATCTCCCCCTCCTTTCCTCTCTCTGAAATCAATAAAGATACATTAAAAAAAAAAAAAGGGCTAGATGGGCTCACAAATCAAACAGTCACACAAGTGCTTTTTTCTCCCCTCCGGACAACCAACTATCACACTTCTGGGTCCAGCAAAAGTAGTTTATGTGAACTTCCCATTTTGTCACACTGAATATTAAAAAGATGTGTTCCTAATTTATTAATATTAATAAAACTTTTGTTAATATTAATTTTAAGCACACTGCAGAGGAATGCAGTGTCATTGGTGTCACTGTCTTAATTCATGCCAAACAGATGGCAATCTCTTCACTATTTTTACACCATCAGTGCAAATGTCAACAGTGTAAACTGCAATTTGCATCTTACTATTACATGCTGACTTCACAGATCCCTTCCAAAGGGGTCCCTTGCAAAGGTCTTGGGGCTCCCAGGGGTCTGCAGACCACACTGTGAGAACCTCTGTGCTAGTCAAAGAGTATTTTCCCTAAGGTGATTTTTAACCTTTTAAATTTAATAAAAGGTCTCCCTTTCATAAAACTCCTTGAAAACTCACACAATGAAACAAAGTAAGGGCTAAGTAAATGACTCACCTTGAACTTGTTCATTTTCTGCTGCTCCTGGGAAAGGATAGAAACTATGAAGCCAGAATAGAGGAAGTTGAAAGACAGAAGTCATGAGACTTAATCTTGCAGCTCCAGGAATCACCTGTGAGAAATTTTCAGACAACAGTTTAGTAAAAGGTAAACCTCTGGAAAAACATTTCTTGGAGCCATGAGAAGGAATAGGAAGGGCTATGATTAAGGAGTACCCACCTATCCACCGGTGACCCTGAAAAAATCTTGATGACCTTGGGACATTTGTGCGTGAATTTAAACATTTCTTTCCTATTGACTGCTTTGAAAATTATGTCTGTTCACTAAATACCACAAAAGAATTGAAAACGTAAAGTTCCAATACTAGACTAGTAGCAAAAGGTAACTAGATGCCATAAGGCTGAGATCCTTCCCCCAGGCAGCAAGGTGTACAATATATACCCAAAGTATGGAACATTGTGTTGGTATTACATAAGATGGTGACGAGAAATATTTATTGATATGGAAAAGTGTTGAAATTCAAGTCATAACAATTTTTCCTGTTACCACTATAAACCCCACAAGTTTAGAAAGTCTCCAAAGCTCTCAAAAATAAGATGTTTCTTCTCCCTAAATTGCAGTTTCTCAAAAATCACTTCTCCAAGAACCTTGTGTTGACTTAAATACAGTGGACCTGCAGTCTTCTGGTCCATGCTAGGCTCTGCTATTAACAAACCTAGTGACTGTCTTATTTTCAATGCTATTATCTTTAACATGAGGAAGAATTAGATAATTTTGAACAAACTTCATGTACCATTTTGACTCTGTAATTCTTGACCCAGTGCCACAAACCCAGACAGTACCATGGAATTCACTGTCCCCTCCAAACTTGGGCTGGGCCTAGGATGAAATTTAATTAGGAGTTAATGAATTTTGGCACGGCCATCTAATCTGCTCACGTCACAAACCTAACTTCTAAAATAACAATTTGGTACCATAATCCCCAACAGGCACTCTGTGTAGGTAGCAAAAGGTTAACTAGATGGCCTAAGCCTGAGATCCTTCCCAGGAGCAGCAGAAACCCCTTCCAGTTGCCTTGGTGCTCACAGAATGCTTCCATAAGCCCAGGCACACCAGCCAATCAGAGGCACTATGACGTCACTTTCAAAATATGGAGCATGGATGAAATTGCAGTTTTCGCATTTTTTTTGGCAATGTCTGTCTCACTTCCCCTCTTGCCTGGAAAGGATTCCCAGCTTCTCCCGTAAAACTTAAAAGTCAGGGCTTAGGTTATGGCTTCAATGTACACGTTGAACGGCTCTGTGCGGGCAGGGCCGGGCTGCAGAACGCAGGGCAACATTGTAACACGGGCTCTGAGGCAGCCTCCAGCGCGCTTGCAAACAACGCTACGTGGTGGGACGAGGTTGTCCTCAGCCTCGCCGCCCCGCTCCACTCCTCCACTCCGCTCCTCCACTCCGCTCCACTCCACGTAGTGTTCTGGGCAATTACCGTGCTAAGTGCAAATTTTAGCGTGGGAAACTGCAGAGGCTTGAAAGCCCATCTGCCGATGCTGCGCAAAACAATCTCTGAACCGTTAGCACTCAGGGGGCGACGCCCGGGGAGGGGGGCTGGCGGTGAAAATGGCCCGAGGCAGCAATGAAAGGACCGGCGTACCTTGCAGCGACGCGCAGCTCGCCTTTACTGAGTCCGCGCCTTCGAGCGCTCTGCCCCGTCCCAGACGCGAGACCGCCGGGCGCGAGCGCCC